GCTGGCTGCTCCCTCTGCTGGCAAAGTCAGTCCCTATCTGGTAAATTCTGGTTCCACAAATGGAGCCATGAAAGCACACTGTTAGGTCTCATTTTAAATTCAGATTGACTTATTTTTATTTTTAGAGACAGGGTCTCACTCTGTCACCCAGGCTGGAGTGCAGTGGCACAGTCTTGGCTCATTGCAGCCTTGATCTCCTGGGCTTAAGCAATCTTCCCACCTCAGCCTCCTGAGAAGCTGGGGCTACAGGCTCGTGCCATCACACTGTTTTTTGTATTTTTTTTAGAGGTGGGGTTTTGCCATGTTGCTCAGGATGCGTCAAACTCCTGAGCTCAAGCGATGCGCTCACTTCAACTTTCCAAAGTGCTGGGACTACAGGCATGAGCCACTGTGCCGGTCTCAGGTAGACTTAGACAATTTGAAGAGTGTTAAAGAGTGCTTTGTAAAGGGGACAGAACAAAGATTAAGATTTCCTGAAATTCTTTTCCCTCACAGGTGTTGGGTGGGTGGTAAAATTCCAAGAAATACTTTAATCCCTAGCCTAGATGTCAGGTTTTCCATTTTAAAACAAAGAGATGAATGTCTTCCAGCAAGTTAATCTTTTTGTGCCTTAGTCCGATCTAAGATATGAGGATAATAATTTTGCCTAACTCAATCATTTAATGTTCATTATGAGTTAACTTGAGTTAGTTTAACCAACTTGAGTTGAACTAACTCAAGTTAACCAACTCGAGTTAAATGATCAACTCATTTAATGTTCAGATTAAATAAATCAAGTAAATTTCTTAGACCATTGTCTGATACATGCTATAATGATTAATATTCTAAAAAAGGGTCGCCTGAGTGAAAGAAGAGAAACACAAAAGAATATACTCTGCATTCCAAAGTTAACCTGAAACCTTTGGAACCTTGTCAGGGGGAGGTAAAATATGCCTCATTATTCCCTCCTTCCTTTTGGAATTCAGGCCCAGCTGACCAGCATTAACATTAAAACAGATCTTAAGACTGACAAAACCGACTTTGATTGTAGCAATAAGATACCAAATTCCAGCAGGACTCTAGTATGACATCACATGACACATAGTAAGGCCTGAAAGTGAACTATTTTACCCCAAATTATGTTTCTTTGCCATATCATGAAATAGTCCTGCAAAGCTATCCTTTTCTAGGCCTTTTTCCTGATTCAGGAGAGAATCAACTCTGATAAGAAACATTTACAATGTAGTCTCTCAATAGCCTGCCACATGCGGAGTTCCTCTGCATAGGGGGAGGGGAGTCTTGGTCTCCCCAACCCCTTATTTTACCACAGACATTCCCTTCTATTTTTAATTTTTCTTTTGAGATGGAGTCTTGCTCTGTTGCCTAGGCTGGAGTGCAGTGGCATGATCTCGGCTCACTGCAACCTCTGCCTCCCAGGTTCAAGTGCTTCTCCTGCCTTGGCCTTCAGAGTAGCTGGGATTACAGGCTCCAGCCAGGCTGGTCTCAAACTCCTAACCTCAGATGATCTGCCCGCCTTGGCCTCCCAAAGTGCTGGGATTACAGGCGTGAGCCACCGTGCTCAACCGCCTTCTAGTAATTCCATCTGCAGCCACAAGTCCTTATATAATCCAGACATTCCCTTCTGTGGAGTCTAGGTCTTTAGACAAAGCTTTAAACCAACTGTCCATCAGAAAATCTTTGAATCTACCTATGATCTGGAACCGCCCCCCACAGTAGTCCTACCTTTCCAGATGGAACCAATGTACATTTTATATTTATTGATTGACGTCTTATTTCTTTTTTTACATATTTAGTTTCACTCTAAAGCTCATTAGATTTCCTGACACTGTACATAGGTTCTATTTATTCTGAGGGAGGAGCTTGACTTGACTCACATTATTTACTAGTTGAAAGGCACATTTACCTGCGTTGAACTCAGGATCATCTTCCAGGGCAACCACAGCTCCCTCCACGGCATCCACAGCACTCCCGCCCTCTCGGAGGATGCAGTAGCCCACGGTGGCGGCTCTGACGACACCCTGGCGCACTCGCTCCCTCCGATCCTTGGAGATGGGGCCGGCCCCGCCGCCGTGGACCACCACGATGGGATTCATGTCGGCGGATCCTAGGCACTAGGAAGGCGAAAGCGTCGTCTAAAGCCAGCCCAAGGAAGCCGCGGGGACACAAGGTCCTCGGGAGATCCTGCGGGGACAGCGCCCAGTCTCTATTTTGGGAGACCTGGTTGACAGCGGGGGGTGGGAAGGGGAGGCTCGGTCGAGCTTGGTACGAAGAGCCCAGGGCGCCCCGCGCCCTCCCACATTCCTCTCCGCCCCCGGCCCGGACCTGCCGGAGCCTCAGTTTCCCCGGGGACGTCGCCCCGCCTCCACCGCCGCCCGCCTCCAAGCTCCGGCCTAGAGGGAGGATGTGTATTTCGCCTTCCGGAAAATGTCTATTTTCGTTTATTTCGTTCGCCCTCCCACGTCTTGTGCGCCTGCTCCAGGAGGGCCGCCGAGTTACCGAGGGCACCGCGGGAGGCGGACGCCGAGGCCTCAGGCTGGGTCGAGCAGCCCTCGCAGCTGCCCAGTCCGGCCGCTCAGCGGAGCGGGCTAGAAACCGCTCAACCTGCAACCGCTCGGGCCGCAACGGCTCTGCGCCGGCGCACGAAGGCAGGGCCGCCGCACTGCCCAGTTACCGTAAAGCCCCGACGCCCGGCCTGCGCGCACCTGTCTCACAGAGCTCATCGGAGTCTCAGCTCCTGGCTCGCGCGAGCTTCCTAGAGGCAGGTGGCGACCCTCCCTCTCCTGATGAGGCTGGGGGCAGGGTGGTTGGGTTGGAGGCGAAAAGCGGGAAGTGGCGTGCCACCGTTTTGTAACTGCAAATTGAAAAGCAACGCTGTGAGCCCTAAAATCCTTCCTTTGCCAGAGGTGCTTAGCAGACTCGCTAGTTATAATTTTGAAATAAAATCCCTCCCCTTGACGTGTCTCTCTCCTTAACCATTTGCGAAGAACAGAAAGATAAACTGTAAAAATGTCTACCTGCTCTGATTCTATACCTTTACTTCGGGTGCCCGGAGAGTCTGAAAACCCCCAAGTTTAAATTACATCACCCACAGAAGTCCTTATTTTATTTATTTATTTTTGAGATGGGGTTTCTTTATCTGGTCTTGAACTCCAGAGCTCAAGCAATCTTTTCACCTCGGCCTCCCAAAGTGCTGGGATTACAGCGTAAGCACTTACGAGTCCTTATTTTTCTTCGATACTTCAACTCCTCCCTGCCTCTGTGTGTTCCCTAAAGACTTGACACCCCTGGTGACTGGACGAAACCGCCTGTATTCACCCATGGCTGTCCTAGATCCCTGTTTCGTCCTTCCTGTAGTCAAGGCGGATGTAAGGAGTTTACATTTGTACCCAGGAAGACAACTGGGTTAGTGGTATGACCTGAAAGATACCTTACTCTATTACGAAAGTACCTTTTTGAATTATGATGTTATTATTTTTTAGGGCAGTTTAGGCTCACAGCAAAATTATTTTGTTTTTATTAATTTGCTCTAAGTTGTTTATTGGCTGGATGAGCCAATGTCAAAGATAGGCTTTCACTTTGTCCAACAAATGCCACCTTTCCCCAACCCCCTCCATGCACTGAAGGTACTGATGGACTGATGGCACAGAGTTTGATTCATTCCTGAGAGACCCAAATGTACAAAGGGACAATGGCCAGAACTTATACAGAAATAAACTCTGAACCAGAACCCATGCAGCAGCTAGTCTGGGACACCAAACCACAACCTTAACAGCAATGCATTCTATTTTTTTTTGAGACAGATTTTCACTCCTGTTGGCCAGGCTGGAGTGCAATGGTGCGATCTTGGTTCACTGCAACATCCAACTCCTGGGTTCAAGTGATTCTCCTGCCTCAGCCTCTTGGGTAGTTGGGATTACAGGTGTCCAACACCATGCCTAGCTAATTTTTGTATTTTTAGTAGAGATGGGTTTTACCATGTTGGCTAAGCTGGTCTCGAACTCCTGACTTAAGGTGATCCACCCACCTTGGTCTCCCAAAGTGCTGGGATTATAGGCATGAGCCACTATGCCCAGCCCTCTATTTTTTTTTTTTTTTTTTGAGTTTTTAAAAATTTTATTTTATTTTACTTATTTATTTTTTTGAGATGGAGTCTCACACTGTCACCTGGACTGCAATGCAGTGGCACAATCTCAGCTCACTGCAACCTCCGCTTCCCGGGTTCTCCTGCCTCAGCCTCCCACGTAGCTGGGATTACAGGTGCCTACCACCACACCCAGCTAATTTTTTGTATTTTTAGTAGAGATGAGGTTTCACCATATTGGCCAGGCTGGTCTTGAACTCCTGACCTCGTGATTCACCCGCCTTAGCCTCCCAAAGTGCTGGGATTACTGGTGTAAGCCACCATGCCCGGTCATCAGCAATGCATTCTAAATGGTTAGGACTTGGTCAATAAGTACCAGCTTCCCTAATTTTTGTCCTTGCTTCCAAGTTAGTCTCAACCAGAGAAAGCTAAATCTTCTCCTCTAACCAGTCACATAGGATGATACTTTTTGTTAGCCCATCCGGCTTCCCCAATGAAACTGCCTCCAAACAGAGCATACCTGAGCTTTCCCTTTTTGCCATTATAAAAGCCTTCCACTCTCCTGCCTGCCCCTGAATCTCTGCCTAACGCAAGTGATATGGGTGACTCCCTCGCAATGGCAAGCTCTAAATAAATAGCCTTTGCTTATTCCCATTTGGATGGTTTCCATTTATTTCCACATTCCAGAAATACAAGTGTCTGCTTGAGTGAAGGATTTGTGCTGAAAGGACCCTGGAGGAGGGACTGGCCGTCTCCAGTTGTGGACATCAGAGCATTAGGGCCAAGCTGTACTGCTGATGTTTGTCTCCATTGCTTGCTTGCCACCTACCTTGACTCACTGGAATTCAGCTGGGGTGTGGTGGGCATCTTCCATCGGACTGTTTTGTTCTGTGCCTCGTAAGCAGCCTGGCTCACTGTGGGCCCCACAACCCCACCCTCTCCTCTGATTATGCTTTCCCTAATTCCACCCGTCATATTTGAGACAGCAGAGTCTGTATGGCCTGCGCTGGGAAGGTGCTTAGAGGAATATAAAAGCTCTTAAGAATCCAAACTGCCAGTAGGGAGGTTATCAACTAACTGTCGTGACAAGACCAGTCTGTGTTTCTGGTTGCAAACAACAAAACAATCTGGCTAGATTAAAATGAAAAAGGATTTATAGAGAATATTAAGAAGCCCATAGAATTTCTAAATGGTTTTAAATCCACACAGATAGCAATAATCCACAGCCATGCTATGGGCTTGCTCTAGTCTCTGGAGAGCATACTGTCACCGCCTTCACTGGGCACTTTTGCTGAGCATCTTTCCTTGGGATTGGCTGCCTGATGCTCCACCCTAGCTTCCTCTGACCTTGAGGCATCTTTGCTACTCTGCTTCCTGGAAGATCGGTCCCCTATTCCATTTCTTCCCATTGCTCACCTCTGAATCCTAGGTGAAACCCAGCTACACGCCCCATCTTAGTTGCAGGGAAGTAATGCCGCGAAGGTGAGAATGCAAACTTTGGGGTTTCTACTGGGAGAAGGTAGGGTTTATAATGTAGAAATATTACTGAAATGTAGGGACAGTGCTGAAAAGAAGTCGGTGGCCACAAATGTAAATATTTGCTATCCAGTGTATGAAAACTACTGCTTAAAAACAGCAACACAGTCAAAGGTGAGATTTTGTGGCATAAGTTATTTGAGTATTAGGGGATTTCAGAGAATGGAAAGGAACTTGTGACCAGTGATTTGGCACAGATGACTTGGAGTAGAAAGGTCTTGAATGTGGTGTGCAGGAAAGAAAGGATCTGAATTGGGAGATGAGAAGAAGGCAGAGGAGGAACTTTCCTGGGGGAGACTGCATGGGCGAAGATGTAGAGGAGGAGGGTGGCCATAGCATTTGTTGTCCCAGCCAGCATACTGGAGTGTGAAAGGAAGCACACTAAAAAATTGTACTGGGACGGGCCAAGCGCGGTGGCTCACTCCTGTAAACCCAGCACTTTGGGAGGCTGAATTGGGCAGATACCTGAGGTCAGGAGTTCGAGACCAGCCTGACCAACATGAAGAAACCCCGTCTCTACTAAAAATACAAAATTAGCACAGCATGGTGCCGCATGCCTGCAATCCCAGCTAATCGGGAGGCTGAGGCAGGAAAGTCGCTTGAACCTGGGAGGCGGAGGTTGCAGTGAGCTGATATCGCACCATTGCACTCCAGCCTGGGCAACACAGCAAAACTCTCTCAAAAAAACAAAAGAAAACAAAACAAAAAACACCAAAAAAAAAATTATACTAGGCAATAGGCACAAGCAGGGACAGATCCAGGCAAACTGATTGATCTCCTGTGGATAGGAGAATCCCTTCCCTTCTTGTTAACCCACAACTAATAACATATTTTACCACTCTTGGGAATTCCCTTTATTCCTGGTTTACCTTCCTTTCCTGCCTTAAGGCCCAGTTTAAATTAACCCCTTCTGCGAAGCCTTTCCTCCCGAACCTCACTAAGGATCAGTCATTCCCCTTCTAGTGACCTATTGTTGTGAGTGATTCCCACACATTTATTGGCTTCAAACAACACACATCATCTGACAGTTCTGGTGGTCAGCAATTCAAACCGGGTCTGCAGGGACTGAGTTCCTTCAGGAAGCTCCAGAAGAGAATCCATGTCTTTACCTGCTTCTACAAGCTGCCTGTGTCCTTGGCTCATGGCCTCATCTTCCATTGCCAAAGCCAGAAGCCAAGCATCTTCAACTCTCTCTCTCTGGCCTCTGTTTCTGCCGCTACGTCTCTTCTCTCTCTGCCACCATCATCACCATTTACTTCTCTGACTCTGTCTCTTCTGCCTCCTTTTGTTTTTGACCTCTGAACTTTTTATTGGCCTCCTGCTCCCCAAAGGGTCCCCTGCTTTTGCTGGCTTAATGTCTCAGAACTTCGGTGTTGTTGGTCTCAGACACCACCTTGCCATCAGCTATCTGGCGGGTGGTGTTCTTTTGGATGGTTTGCATGGAGTTGCTGCTATCCAGGGGATAACCAAGATTGAAGTCCTCACCATCTTCCAGCAGTCGAGGGTAGATGGCGATCTCAGCCTCTAGCTTGACCTTGATGTTCAGCAGGGCCTGAAACTCCTGGGCCTGGCATTGCCCCTCTGCCCGGGTCTGTGCCCGCTCTGACTCCAGGTGCAGCAGGATCCCATTGAGCTGCTCCATGTGCAGGGTGTAGTGGGCCTCCACCTTCCTCAGGCTGTTCTCCAAGCTGGCCTTCATATTTCTCATGGAGTCCAGGTCGATTCCTGGCCGAGGCTGGGAAAGGTGACTGGTGGCCCAAGGGGTTAGAGTGTTGGGTTCCATTTGATCCTTCCATCTCAGCCTCATGCCTTTGTCCACTTCTCTGGTGGGCTTCATATTCCTGTCCCAATCCCAAATCTCTTAGATAAATTCTGTAGAAAATAAACTTCTGAGCTGGGCGTGGTGGCTCATGCCTGTAATCCCAGCATTTTGGGAAGCTGAGGTGGGCAGATTACCTGAGGTCAGGAGTTTGAGACCAGCCTGACCAACATGGAGAAACCCCATCTCTACTAAAAACACAAAATCAGCCGGGTGTGGTGGCACATGCCTGTAATCCCAGCTATCTGGGAGGCTGAGGCAGGAGAATTGCTTGAATTTGGGAGATGGAGGCTGTGGTGAGCTAAGATTGCACCATTGCACTCCAGCCTGAGCAACAAGAGCGAAACTCCGTCTCTAACCAACTAACTAACTAACTTCTGGTCTTTGAGGAGGAAGGAGGAAGCATCTTTTTGTCTGACTCTGGGCTAGGAGAAGGAATCTGGCTAACTCCTCTGCAGACGGTTTTCCATCAACAACAGTTTTATGGATTAAGGATTGTATCCAACTGTCCCTGACAAAACTTGACCACAGTGGTTTAACCAGATAACTGTTGATTTGAAAACAACAACAACAACAACAACAACAAATCTAGTGGTTGTTGCCCAGGCTGGAGCAGCAGCTCCAAGGTGACACAGACTCCTTCTCTTTCCCTTCTGCTGCTCTCGGCCTGTGGCTTTCACACACGTGGCACTCCTAGGCACTTTGATCACTATTGGGGCAGGAGGAATGGGGAAGGGCAGAGGGGAGAAGGCCCTTACCAGCTCCCCTTTGCTCCTTTAATTCAGGAAAGCTCTCTAGCTTTCCTGGAAGTCCTTCAAGCGGACTTTCATTGGCCCGAACTGGATCGGGTGACTGCCCTTAGTGGCAAGAAAGTCTGGGGAGT